TACTGACACAATCTGATTTTCTGCAGTTATCAGATTATTAAGTGTAAACACCCTAAACCAGTTATGGACACAATCTGATTTTCTGCCGTCATCAGATTATTAAGTGTAAACACACTGAACCAGTTACTGACACAATCTGATTTTCTGCAGTTATCGGATTATTAAGTGTAAACACACTGAACCGGTTACTGACACAATCTGATTTTCTGCGGTTATCAGACTATTAAGTGTAAACACACTGAACCAGTTACTGACACAATCTGATTTTCTGCAGTAATCAGATTATTAAGTGTAAACTCCCTAAACCAGTTATGGACACAATCTTATTTTCTGCCATCATCAGATTATTAAGTGTAAACACACTGAACCAGTTACTGACACAATCTGATTTTCTGCAGTTATCATATTATTAAGTGTAAACACACTGAACCAGTTACTAACACAATCTGATTTTCTGCAGTTATCAGACTATTAAGTGTAAACACACTGAACCAGTTACTGACACAATCTGATTTACTGCTGTTATCGGATTATTAAGTGTAAACACACTGAACCAGTGACTGACACAATCTGATTTTCTGCAGTTATCGGATTATTAAGTGTAAACACACTGAGCCAGTGACTGACACAATCTGATTTTCTGCAGTTATCAGATTATTAAGTGTAAACACACTGAACCAGTTAGTGATGCGATCTGATTTTCTGCAGTTATCAGATTATTACATAAATGTAAACACACTCAGTGTTAGCTTTAGCATTGGCTCATCTGAAGGGGCATCTTCCGTTGCTAAAATCTTCCGCTTTAACACTGAATAACTGAATGATCAGCCTAAATGACAGTTCTGACACCTACGCTAGAGTTCTGTTTGTGGACTTCAGCTTGGCTTTCAACACCAGAGTGCCAGAACTGCTGCAGGCCAAACTGTCCCAGCTGTCTGAGCCAGATTCCATCTGCTGGTGAATTATGGACTTCCTGACAAACAGGACACACAAGTCAGATCCTCAGACCTGGACCCTCAGCATGCTGTCACACATTCTCTTCAGTCTCTCCACCAAAGAAACCAGCTGTGAAGATGACACCACAGTGATGCTGGTCTCCTGGAGCAGCAGCAACCACCTGTGCTCAGCAAGCAAAAGCCTGTGGAAACGGCGGTGGGTTTCAGGTGAACATCCCCAACATTAAGTCAAGTCACTCAAGTTCCTGGACACCAACATGTCCACTTTAAACTTAAACTGAAACCAACAAACCACCTTTCCTCTACTGTTCATCCTTAATTTATCTTTATATTGGCCTCAGACACTCAGTTTACGACGAGTGTGTGATGATGCTAACTGGCCACTAGCTTCCATTACTTGTTAGCTACCTTATTTTTCCTTATCTTAGCTTTCCTCATAGCTCCAATCTTGGTTAGTGAGCATATATCAGTCTCCTGGCTTGATAATGTGGCCCCCCTCTGACTGTATATCACTGCTGGTCCACCCTAGGACCACAGAGGTTAATGTCCACTCAGGACTAACTAGTTTTTAATCTCATCAAACAGAGACTTTTACTATGAAAAAAATATACTAGTATGATTGTTGCTAACATTCAATCATTCGGTTGAGAGATAAAAATAATAACTAGGCCTAATATAAATTGATTTCATTGAAAATGTTGTTGCTGACGCTGTATTTGATTGGTTACTGTATAACCAGTTTTATTTCTGATATTCCTGTTAAAATTATTTACTATTATTAGTATTAATTATTTAATTATTTACCATCAATGGGCCAAAAGTGGCCCTCCATCCTCTTGTTAGATAGATAGATAGATACTTTATTGATCCCGAAGGAAATTTAGAAATTTAGAAATTTTGTTATCTGGGTAAGAAGCAAACTTCAGACACCAAACATGTCTTGGCTGATCAACCACAGGAGGAAAATGTGTAAATTGAATTTTTCACTGAATTATTGCTTTATGGAGGTCCTGAGGGAAGGTCTGGGTCACGGCCGCTGTGCCAGAGGAGGCTGCGGGGTTACCTTCCCCTCAGGTACGAGGGCAGAGGTCTCTCCTCCGAGGCCGAGCTCTGCTCATCTTTTATTGAATAAAATAAAGAGTCACTTTACTGGATAATTCATTGAGGAGAGGTCAGGGCTTTCTGCTTGGTTTCTGACTCGTATCATTCACTAAACGTGACAATATAGTGTTCATTTGTTCAAAGCTGCCTGATTCCAGATTTATCTGATTAGTGGTGTATTGCACTACTGTGTTTATGCTCTTGTGGGCTTCGTTTACATAGATTTGTTTCTTAAATCTGATTTTTAGACTGAATGTCCACATTTTAACACACATAGTTACAGTTTGACCAAAGGTGATTTGTATGGTCGGGCTGTTGTAACACTTGCTTGCATAGTCAAAGTGATTTCCATAGTGATGCGTTGTATCTCCATGCTAGGCAAAACTGGAAGCGTACATATGTTAGCATTTTCGCTAACAAAACAATTAGATTATTTTTTATAGCAGCATAGCTCTTTATATCAGCTAGAACATGAACAGAACACGACACTAGACTGACCTGGTCAGCATACAGTTACAGGCTAATAGGTTCTAGAAGATGTTATTAACATGAATTATCTGTTGCGCCTGTTTTGCTTTGAAATCCTTTTCAGGGCCACAAATGAGAACATTTCTGCTTTTCAGATCATATGTTGGCTTTGCTAGCACTAGTGTTAGCATTAGCATTAGCTTTACCTCACGTTTCTGACAGCTGGGGTTTGCTGGGGCGATTTAACTTGTGTGTTAGAAGCTAATTGTACATATGTGGACATTTATTGACATTTTGTGTGTGTATTCTGTACAGCTGGGCTGGTTTTACGGAGGAAAGTTAAGACTTAGAAGTGCTAGCTTAGCATACTTCCCATTAACATTGTGGCTAACGCTAATTCTGAGTTTTTGGCTAATTATAAGTTTTCATCCAGACAGCTACAGGCTATTGCCCTGATAGCAAGAGGTCCACAAAGCTTGCGGTCCACTTTGCTCAGTGTTTTCCAGGCAGCCCACTGGTGTTTAAGCAGAGAATTAGACAAAATTCCACTCATCATCACTCAATTTCCACTCACAGTCCAGTTTACTGATTTTTCCTTCCTTCTTTTCTTTAGGTACACTTTGTAAATTAGTCTGGTAAATAATTTTAATCCAGCTCAGCGTCAGACACAACATTTCTTATAAAATCATTTTATTTTAAGCCTAGTCATGATTTTTTTCTCAGTTGTTTGTAATATTTGTCTACAAGTTTATTTTCTAAGATAAAAGTCTCTGTGCATTTAAAATCTGTTTGTGGAGATTAAAACTAGTTAGACGTTGTCTGCAGGACACTAATCTGGGTGGTCCGAGGGTGGACCAGCAGCGGCAAACAGTCAGTGGGGAGCCGACCTTATCAATCCAGCGGACTGATACATGCTCGCTATCTGGGTAGGTTATACCAGCAATATTCAGAGACAGATTTTAAGTTAAACTATTTAAATATTTAAGTTAAAAAATGTTACCTGAATATTTGTTACTAACTTTAAATGCCTGTGTTTAAGCTATAATATGTATCACTAGCTTGGCACTAACAAAATCCACTGGGGTACTAGGAAAATTATCATTACGTTAACTGTGGCAATCGGATAAACAAATGCTAGTCAATGAAATTAAAAGCTTCCTATTTTAAAGAATGCTATGCTTATAATGTTATGACTTTACTTGGCTCTTACTGAAATTAAATTACTTTTTTGTCCTGCATTCTAACATCAAAGAACCAATGTACCAAAATAATAATAATAAAAAAAAACATCCGATCTGACGGAACAATATTGAGTCACATATTCAGAGATCTTAGTTCATACAAATGTGGCTTGAATCAGAGTGGAGAAAGTCAAATTTCATGTGGCTAGTGCTGGGCAATATATCAATATTTATCGTTATCGAGGTAAATTACGTCACAAAATGTCACAGTATGCTTCTCTGAGTATGTCATGCATTACTTAAAACCACAATTTAGACTAAAAAGAGAATAGTTAGTCCTGTTTAACTGGATTTAGTGCAGTACAGTGTGTGAAATTTTGAATACAAGTAATAAGATTAATAATTTTTGACCATTTTAAGTGTGGCATTTCTTTATCTGTTCTACATTATCAGATGTCAGAAAAATAATTATCATGACACATCACAGTATTGTGATATAACATTTTGCCATATCGACCTCCTTTACATAGCTGTTGAAACTGCAGGTAATCAGATATGCCAAAAAACTGGATTTGAGCTGCATGTCTGAACAAAACGTTCTCAGCCATTAAGATGTTATTAACTTTAATTACCTGTAACCTGTGCCTGTTTTTTTGCTTTGAAAAACATTTCTGCGTTTCAGATCATACTCTGGGATCAACAGGGACCTGAAGCCATTTGGCAGCAAGTCCTTTCGGCTGACTCCCATGGCTGTGGTGACGTACTCAGGAGATTCTTTTAGCTGACTGGGACAAGGTTCTGTTCCTCTAGGCCTCGCCCCCCATCGCCGGTACATCTGTTACCATGTTCTCCTTTGCCTGAGGAGGCAACTGCGGTCTGAATATTAGTGGACAATCCACAAGGCCAAACGTTAGCAAGTGTTTATGCTAACTAACCGTGGCCACATAGTGATGATGAGTACGAACACCAGGTTAAATCTAAATGTAAACCTCACTTTAACAAATTACAGGCTTCTGTTGACTTAGTTAGATATTTACATACCTACATGTTTCATAGTCATGGTAGCATGACTAAGACTGAATGTCTATTTTTAGCTTCTATAGTGTTGTCGTATAAAAACTACATTTCCCGTCGGGCACTGCGGCGGAGTTGTAGTTCTCACCTCTGATGACTGCGCAGGTGCGGTGTGCTATTTATTTGTTTCCCACCCGTATTCCAACGGACTGCTTGCTCGTGAATACGAGTCAGTGGCCAATCGCAGCGCAGCTGGCCGGACGCCGATAGCCAATCGCGGCGCAGGAGAGGCGGGACTCCAGAGTGAAAACGTTCGGGAAAGAACCGAGCGGATAACAACACTTTCTCTCTCTTGCGAAATAATCGGGGGAAAAATATAAAATAAAAATAAAAAGAATGCAGATCACGCTGAAAACCCTCCAGCAGCAGACGTTCAAAATCGACATCGACGGAGAGGAGACGGTGAGAGCTCGGAACAAACGCGTTTCGGTGGGGAAAAAAATAGAATGAGAAAAAATAAAAAAACCGACAAAAGTTGTTGGCTTCGCTAGCGCTAGCGTTAGCATTAGCCTTAGCTTTACCTCACGTTTCTGACAGCTGCGGTCTGCTGGGCTGATTTAACTCGCGTTATAGGAGCTAATTGTCCATATGTGGGCGTTTATTAGCATCGTGTTTGTGTATTATGTACGGCGAGACGGGTTATCGGAGAAAAAGTTGGGACTGAGACGCGCTAGCTTAGCATACCTTCCCGTTAGCATTGCAGCTAACGCTAATTCTGAGTTTTTGGGTACTTAGAAGTTTTCACCCAGACTCAAAGCAAAGTGTAGTTAGTTGTTCACTTAGTCTTTAATGGCTTGTAAGAAAACAGCACTAAATGCAGGGTTCACGTAATGTTCTTTTAACCAAGCAGCGTTAAGCTAATTAGCGTTAGCTTTTAGCTAATCGTGTGTGATGAGCTCGTTTCTGGTTCAGCATGCTGACCTGCAGGACGTGCATTTGTCAGCGCGGTTGTATGAATTATATCTCTGCTTTGGGTTAATAGACACCTAATATACACCACTGGTGAGTTTAGTTCTGAGTAAACTTCAGATACAGCGGTAATTTGTTACGGTTAGCTCGTTAGCTTAAGCTGCGTGGCCTGCATGGTCTGCATGGTCTGATGAGTTTTATGTTCTTTTATAATTATTATTTTTTTACAGAGCTACAGCACATTCATTAGAGAATGTACATGCTGGGTGGGTGTGTGTGTGAATGAATCACATTGGCTGGTGCTTTTTAGGCAGAAGGTGGAGCAGCTGCTGGGTTAGTGTAGTGACTCAGTGATATTAAAGGGGAATTCCACCCACTTTTTAAAAAACTGTGCATAATTAAGTGGCTAAGATGTAAACAAACTCCATTCAGAGTGGTTTGGTGTGAAATGCTCCCTTCTAGAGAAACTTAGAGTCAGAATTTGTTCACAGTGGTGGTGATAGGAACCAGACCAGATCCACCTCTAAAAGATCCCTCACAGAAGGTTATTACGTTATCATTACTAATAGGGCTGAAAGATTAATTGTTTTTATACCAAATCACTAAAGCTGCAGTTTTTATTATACAACACATTAGGAACAAGTTTTAAATGGAGACTTAACCTAATAACACAGGGGTTTTGAACTGTAGATGAGTTAGACCAATCAGAAGCAACGGTACACCTGTGTTATGTATATGTGACATGAAAGCCTTCACAGCTAACATACTCATTGTGTAAGTTTCATGCCAGAACAGGTGGATATTCTACCCTTCTTGGCTGAAAAAAGAGGCCTGGAAATGAATTTATAGAAAATTGTTGCACATTATGGCAAAATAGTCTTATTATTTTGCCATAATGTTAACTTGTTATTTCAGATTTTCCACTATTTTCCATCATCAACATTCCATATAAACTCAGAAGACTCGTGTAGGTTCACTGGTGGTTCTGGATGGTAAATAAAATGTCTATATTTGTGTTGTAGTCATGGCGACCCCTGGTTCCTATCACCACCACTGTAAAGACATCTGAACCATTTTACACCAAACCACTCTGAATCTCTCTCAAACACTGAATTATGCAGAAATAATCAGTGGAATTCCCCTTTAACCATAACGGGTTTGGTTCCTGAATTCTGTCAGAAAGCATTATTGATCAGATTTCTGTCATCACTCTTACTTTCAATGGATGAAGACCGTAAACGTATGGATCTGGGTCCACGTGACTTTGTCATACAGACTTCCTAAGCAGCCACGTGGCTACGAAAAGTTTATGGTCTTCAGTCTTCCTGCTTTGACTGGATATTTCCTGGGATTAATCAAAACGGCAGATAAATTAGTTCTAAATCTTTAGAAGTGCTGTTTAAGCTTAGTCATGGTGGCAGAGAGGGCCTGACTCATAAGGCTCTAGGGCTGCTCAATTATGGTAAAAATCATGAGTTATTTTGGTCAGAACTCACATCACCTTTATTTAACACAGTTACTCACTGACGTTGGAAACATCGTGAATTCATTGAACTTCTTAAAAAAAAAAAGTCTTAACAGTGGATTTCATTATACTTTTAAAGATAATTAAACTAAAAAAACCAAAGAAAAATGATTATATGCTTATAAATAAATAATATAATAATAAATAAAAATAAGGTCAAGTATGTTGTCCTGCACTTCCACAGCCTACTGAAAACACCTAAACATGTATAAAAAATAATAAATAAAAATAAATTAGCTGCCCTGAAGTGAAAATTGACTGTCCTGAATCTTAAACTGCTTTGTTTACATTATTGATTTTTTTTTTTTTGTGATTCCCTAAAACATCAAATGCCAGATAGCAATACTCTCAAATACAATGCACACAAACACGTATGTATGAGTGTATATGTAACTAAATATGTATTGTTTTAAAGCGACACTTAACTCTTTTAGTAAAGAAATCACTTTGTGTTATTTTTTTGGAGTACTTCTTAATTATTGTACATTAATGAGCAGCAGCATTTCTGTATTAGGCATCAGAAATAGCTAGTAAAGAGTAATCATAGTTATTCACACCTGATTTATTATTTATGGCTGCTTTCAGAATAAAATCGGAGCAATATCATATTATTGTGAGTCTGAAAGGGTTAAACGCTGTGGTGCTACGTGATGTTGGCTAATAATTGTACACAGTAAGCACTTCACTACAGTCTGTGTGCAATACTACCATAATCTCTAGTGCACAGAGTAAATGTTTGTTATAGGGCTGGGTAATATGACAGTATATATACCATTTATTGTGATAAATTACATCATAATTCAATATTGTGAACATACTGTGTTTATCAGTGCTTGTAGACACTCACCAACTGCATGTTTCACTATAAAGAGAGAAATATTAGTCCTGTTTAACTGGATTTACTGACAAATATAAAATATAAATAAGTGTTCAGTTTTTGACAGTATTATTTTTTTTTAAATAGATTTTTTTTGGACGTCTGGAAAAATAAATTTCGTGACATCACTTATTGTGAAAGTTTCTTGAGGTATTGTGATATTTGATTTTTGCCACCACTAGTCTGTTAAACATGACCAATTAAAGCTTGTAATGTAGAGCATGCTAAAAATGTGAATAGCTTTTATATAATATAGCTTGATGCTAATATTACATAGAAATTCCAGTTGATGGGCTAATAGAAAGTAGCATAATGCTAGCTGTCGAAATTTGATAAAGTGCAAAGTGAATTAAAACAGTTTCTGGATTAAACATTCAGATTATTTAGGGTGAGTGTGGACGGCCGGCGCGTTCATGCTTTTATGGCTGTTTTGTATTCATGAATACAAATAACTGCAGCCTTGACTGCTCACATTTACTTAACTTACATCTTATATTTCAGTCTTGATATACATGATATTATTGGTTAATACTATTTTCCCATTTGCTGGTGCACAGTGTTTTACTATATCAGCCTCATTGTTTTTTTTTTTGTTTTGTTTTGTTTTTGTCTCTAAATATACTTTCATTTTGAAAGTGATGCCTGCAGCACATTCCAAAAAATAATATGGGGCAATTTAAGACAAGGAACACTGTGAAATGTTCAGAACACATCCTAATTAAACGATGCATTTATTGTGTCTAGACCGTAACCGCTTTGCCAAAATGCATCAGTAGAATATCGAACAGTTAAAAATTGTTCCTTAACACGCCATTGCAAGGATTTTAGGTATTTCATCATCCTATACAGTGCGTTATATCAAAATATTCAATATCCAGAGAAATATCTGTGCATAAAGTGCAAGGCCGAAAACTGCGACTGAATTCCTGTGACCTTTGACCACTCAGACTGCACTGCATGCTTTTGTGATGATCACCACATGGCCTGGAGAATACTTTGACACACAGTTTCAGTAAACACCGTCTGTCGCTGCATCCACAAAGGCAGGTGAAGACTGTGCCCTGCTCTGTGGAAGATACATATTAACAACAGAAACACCGCTGACTTCTCTGGGTTCAAGCTCATCTGAATTGGACTGATACTCAGTGGAAACATGTATTGTGGTCTGACAAGTCAGCCTTTCAGACTGTTTATGGAAATAATGGACGTTGTGTCGTCAAAGAAGAAAAAGACGCTCCATATTGTTACCAGTGTAAAGTTCTAAATCCAGCATCTGTCTTGGTGGGGGTGGGTGTGGGGGGCCGGGGATATTAGTGGGTGATCTGTAAAAGTTCCGTTAAACACATTTTGGAGCAACATATGCTGCCTTTTAGACGCTGTCTTTTTTAGGGACGTCCATGATTATTTCAACATGACACACCAAGAAACATTCTGCAGCATGGCTGAGTAATCAGAGAGTGTGCACTGAAAACTTCTTAAGCTCAAAATACGACAACAAGGGCCTGTACAGGTGCACAGCTGAAGACATGAATGACAAATGAATGGCAAGAAAATAATATTAATACTTTATAATATTGTAATACTATAATCTATACTTTCAAAACTGGATCAGTTTGTCTTCAGTCCCCAAAGACAAGGTATTAAATTTGGAATCAGTGCATATTCACAAAAAACAATGTTCAAAGTTCATAAGGTACAACATAAAATACTGTGTTTTTGTGCTGCATTGAGTTTAATACAGGGCAAACAGAATTGACTTATCACTGCTTTTCTCTTTTATTAGAATTTTGCACAACGTTTTAGGAAATGGGTTTGTGCTTGTAAGATAAACAACCAGTTTTAGCCTCTTACTGGGAGGTAGTTCTTATGGGTGAAGAGGTCCACTTTGCTGGAATAAAGGTTATTATTTCCTGCTGAGCACTGCGTTTGGACTCTGACTCATTTTTACCATCCTAACAGATTGCGCTCTCTGCTTTTACAGGTAAAAGCCTTAAAGGAGAAAATCGAGAATGAAAAGGGGAAGGAGAGCTTTCCTGTCGCTGGACAGAAGTTGATCTATGCAGGTATGTCCTCCCCCTCTCTGTCTCTCTCGCTCTGTCTCTCTCTCTGTTTTCCCTTTTCCATTTTCATTGACATTTTGATAAGGTTTTGTCGTGGCCGATTTGATGGAAACGGGCCGTCTTGATTTAATTATGTGGCGCTGTTTGGCTGCCCTGTACAGCCCTGATAAGAAAACAGCCCCGAGACATGCATATGATTTGTTGTCACCAGTTTCTGTGTGTAATTATGTGAAATGCAGTGATAAAGCTCAGTTCCGTGCACTGGGAGTTGTGGAGCGTCGTCCCTTCAGCTCACCGATGGGAGAAATGACGGCCGAGCCGGGCAGGAGGGAATTACGCCTGTCAGGGAGAAGGAGGGAGAAATCTGCAGCCACTTGTACCGGCTGATAAATTGCATGTAATGTCTTTTAATTATTTTGTCCCCCACAGGCAAAATCCTTAACGATGACACCGCACTTAAGGAGTATAAGATAGATGAGAAGAACTTTGTGGTCGTCATGGTTGCAAAGGTAAGAGATCAGTCTTATCAACGGTGAATGAAACCCTTTTCCCTTTCCTTTCTTAACCCCTTTTCACAGTAACAAGAAAAGGCAATTTCCACCTGTTTTGGAGGAGGCCTTTCAGTTGAACCGTGCATTTTATTTTCTTCCAGTAGCGTTGATGGAATGTATTTAGATGGAAATGTGTGTGGTTTACAAATCTGAAAGCAATTTGGATTTTCATGTCAACAGTTGTGCTTTCAAGTCAACACTTAAAAAGTGGTTTAACCTCTTATGCTCGTGGGTATATTTCAGATTTTCCATCTGAATTTACATGCCCAAATTGTAAGGCAAATTATTGAAACAAATGTAAAAAAAATTTTTTTTCTTTTTTTTTTTTGTAAAAGCTCCCCTCAAATTAACAGAATGTGTTTAATGATCATAAACATAATGCTATATGCTTATAATTTACAGTTTATCTTCTTATAAAGTTTTAAAATTATATTACCCATCTATTTGACTGGAAAGAAGACTCTCATATGACACCCTAAGACTCTCGAAGACTCTCATATGACACCCTAAGACTCTCTAAGACTCTCATATGACACCCACCACCAATGAAACTTATGGTAGTTGTGAAGTAAAGAATATGATGAAGTTAAAAAGGTTAAATGGTGTTTTTTTTGTATTTAACATGAAGAAAGCTGCAGTTGTGTTGTACACATTATTTTGGCTTGGTCATCAAGAGGTGTGATGTTTTTACAGCGTAGGTTCTCACCTTTTCCCCTTTTTCATCCCTCATTGCTCGCCAGCAGCTCAACACTGAGTCACATTTTACACGCAGAGAGCCAACAATGTTCTTGTTAATCTGATATGAATGCAGAGAAAACATACTATTTAGCTGTATTCGTTAAATATATCCAAGATCTCTTACGGTTGGTGGAATGGCCACATGGGGGCGTGCAGAAAGAGGTTAGGGGGAGCCCTGCTTTGTGATACTCTCAGGTGTGTAGGGTCTAGTGGAGCTTGAACATACATGAACATTAGCTAGTTGGGATAGATTAATGCTAGTTCCTCAATAGCTTAAACTAGATCCAAATATTATAAATTGAACATTTTTATTATTATTATTATTATTATTATTATTATTATTATTATGTTTTAATCAGTGCTCCACCCACATGTGTGCTTTCATGGGTACTGTGTTGAGAGACTGGACAAGCATTACAGAATGCTGATCAACCTAATGAGAAACCGTAGAACAGACTCAGTTTATATCACAATACCTACATTTAGAGTCGGTTATTCATTCAGCCTAATGAGAAACTGTAGAACAGACTCGGTTTATATCACAATACCTACATTTAGAGTCAGTTATTCATTCAGCCTAATGAGAAACTGTAGAACAGACTCAGTTTATATCACAATACCTACATTTAGAGTCGGTTATTCATTCAGCCTAATGAGAAACTGTAGAACAGACTCAGTTTATATCACAATACCTACATTTAGAGTCGGTTATTCATTCAGCCTAATCGACATTGCAAGGCTATGTGCTTGATTTTATTCACCTGTTAGTACTGGGTGTGGCTGAAACACCTGAACTCAAAATTATGATCGGTGTCCACATACTTTTGACCATATAATGTATTTCTGGTATCCAGACTCTCATTGACACTCAATAAAGCTGTGGTTTAAAATTATTGGTCAAGGTAATTCAAATGAGTGAGGAGGTGTTGTTAAATCTGAGTTAACTGTTTCCTCAGCCTAAAGCGGCCCCTGCCGCCGCTCAGCCTTCTGCCGCCGCCACGACGACCAGCAGCACCTCCTCCAGCACTACAGCTCCCACAACCCCCTCAACCGCCTCAGCAGCAGCCAGCGACAAACCCGCGGAGATTGCCCCGAAAGAGGACAAACCGGCTGAAGAGAAACCGCCTTCGAGTGCAGCGCCCTCCTCCACACCTGCCAGGTACACCTCACTTGCCTTACCAGCAGAGGGAGCTCTGGGTAGTTTAGTATGTGTAAAATGCTCCACAGGAGGTCCTGTCACAAAGCAGCTTCAGAGACCTGTGCTTGGACTCCTAGTCAGGGGATTGAGGCAGTTCTGGAGAATAAGCTCGTTGGGCCTGCTTTAAACATCACTGTCCTGCTTAAAATTGGTTTAATAAAGGGTATTGCCTACATCAGGGGTGTTTAAAATTCAGTAACGTCCAGTTAGAGAAAATTTCCTCAAGCAGAGGTCTGGAACATCATAATGTCTATCCTGCATTATGATTCAGTGCCATATACTGTATATTTAAGTAGCCTAGTAGTAATATCAACATGCCAGAATCAAATAAAGTAAAATTCAATAATATTCCAACAATATTCATCAGTTTTCACACCAAACTCGATGAGTTATAAATAACAAACACTCTAAGATCTGTGTTTTGTCTCGTAGTAGCGCTGGACATTAATGCCTTTAATAATCGCCCCCGTCCCGAACATATGAGAGATACTGAGCTGCCCGTGGGAAGAATAAACATGTAAGAGTGTCCATTCTGGATTAAAAGCCCTGTTTTAGAGCACCATGTGAGTGAACTTTCCTTCGACTGCTGTTTCTCGTCTCTGCCCTGTGTGTCTGTGTGTCACTGACTCAAGTTGCATTGCTTGTCGTAATAAACAGATCTGATTGGCTGAGTACTGGCCGTGGCACGACGAGGCGGCAGGAGGTCATTCATATTCAAAAGCAAAAGTTCATTGGCAGTGCAAAGTGGGCGGAGTCAGCGACGCAAAGAGGTTTTATGCAAATAAGGAGCGAAGCAACGTGACGACTACCAATAGGAATTGAGCATTAAGCAGCCTAGATAATTGTTCCTACTAGAGATGGAATAATGGCAGCAGTGCTTTCGCCACAAATAGACAGTAATCACAAAGATCACATACTGTTTTCCTCACACTGACTGCACCGACAGGGGTTAAATAAAGATAAGCACACAAGCGATTTCTCACCAGGATTTTCATTTGTAGTGGGAACGCTTCTGATTTGTGCTTGGCGTCAGTGAAGCCATGGCCCAGAGGGGTTGAGCGACAAACAAGAGGCAAAAAGTTGCTGCCAGTGTGAATACAGGGTAATATTTACAACGTATGCGATTGGTCTGTGAGTCTCCTGGGCTGCTGAACTGGTACAGTAAAAGCTAGAAAAGTTACACTGGTTAAAATAAAAACAGGTCAAAATCAAATAATTCTCAAAACAGCAGTGGTGGTGATAGAAACCAGGGCTCACGATGTCTACAACACAAATGTAGACATTTCATTTACTATCCAAAACCACCAGTGAACCTACACATGTTTTTTGTGGAAAGCTGAAGGTAGTATATTAGTGGTAAATCTGAAAAAAACCCCACATTTTTGGGGACTATTTTGCCCCATAGTGCCCTTTGTGTACCTCTCCACCATGAATGCATATAAGAAATATAATTTGGGCCAAAATCTTCTCAAAACTAAAACAGTGTCTCAGTCATCAGGCAGTGAATTCATAACCATTTCATGTAGGAACTTTCTGTGAGGGAGCTTTTAGAGGTGGACGTCTGGTTCCTATCACCACCACTGTGAACAGTTCTGACTCGGTAAGTTTATCTAGAACAGAGAGTTTCACACCAAACCACTCTGAACCGCTCTGATTACATCTTAACCAGTTAAGTAAATCATACATTTAGAAAGAGTTTATGATAATAGTTGTTTTATTTAAATGAACAGATTACTGTAATAGTGGAACCCGCCGAATGAAAACTGCACATCTCAGACCGTGCGATGCAGATCACTCAGCCCTGGGGCAGAATTATGGTTAATCAGGCCATGAACGCCCCCCAGCTCTGAGTTTGCTTGTTGGAATAGGATGCCTGTTAATGTGTACTTTCATAGCTGCTGTTGTGAGTTTGGACAAACTCTACAGAATGCTAGAATATCCTATTCAGCCTAATGAGTAGAACAGACAGCTTGTATCACAAAATATGGAGATAGAACGGTTGATCATCCAAGGCCATAAATTCTATTATTGACCTACATCATTGAAACAAAGCTGTATAAATCCTGAGATTATGTAAAAAACTGAGGTCCATTGTAACTTTAAATAAATCCATACTATAGGGTTACATTCTCAGCTTCCATTTTTTGCACATATGTCAGAAAGGGATGCCAAATCCTATTAAATTTTGTACAGATCCTTGAAGAGAGAATTTTTTTTTTTTTTTTTAAACACACTGCATAACCTCTTTTGATCCACTGAGAATAATTAGGGGGAAGAGGGTCCCCACACCTAAGCAGTATTAATCGCACTGGCCAGCAAAGTGCAAAAGGCCAATCTGTTGCATTTATAATTATTTAGTTGGGTATCTGGGGGGTGCAACACCAAATAATGCTATATAAGGAGAGCAGCCTGTTGGTTGTTCTTTAATCAGGAAACCCCTCAAACTTCCTCTTGGAGGTGTTTAATGAGCAGCTAACGAGCAGCTCAGCAGAGCAGCTGTTGATCGCGTCTCACTGGCTGATCCAACGCCGCGTCCCAAACCACACACTTCTGTACTTCACCTACTACACTAATGAGTGCACTTCTATTGGGATTTGCGCTATTTTTACACACTGTTTGGTTTATTCTTCCTGAAGGTGCTGTGAATCCTGAGTGCTTATGTAGAGTTTTTAATCTGTATCAAGAACCTGTCGGGAACTTTCTCCAGTGCTTCTGCTTCAGAACACAGATAACCTGCCTGTCTTACTTTTAACATGCTCTCTCTCTCCCCCCTAATTCTGCAGTTCTGGTGGACTGACGAATGTGAACATTTTCGACGAAGCGACTTCTGCTCTGGGTGAGCTGCAGTGTTTATATCAGAGTTAATAATGCTGTTTATTATATTTAAAAGTCTTTACAGAGACTAAGAAATGTGATTGTTCTGCCTTTATACCCTCGAATTAACTGTGCGTTCTCATATTAGTACACTTTAAAAAATGACTCTTCAAGGGTTCATTAGTAAAGACAGGGGTTCTATGTGAAAGCAAAGCAATAAGCCATGAGAGGCCATGCGTTACTGCAATTTTATCACAGTTGAAGGGTGTTGGCATGACGCAAAGTGGAGTAAAAACCCCTTCCTTGTGATAAAATCACAGTCACACGCGACCTCAAGTGGCTTATTGCTTTTATAAAACGCCAGCCAATATAAAACATAATGAAACAAAATAATTTACTATAAATAACAATCGACATAAATATTCCGCCAAGAAATGTAGTTCCTTTAGCATGTGAGGTCGTTGCAAAGCAACCATGGACTGCTGAACGCAGAGAAGAATGTACGGTCGCCCATCACTGTATAAGGCAGAATTTTTATATATAGGTGTATATATATATATATATATATATATATAAATTGTTCCGTGCAGGGAACTATTTAATCATGCAAATGGCTGTTTGTGTTCATAGTTCTATATTGAACCACTGTCTTCACTAAAGAACCCTTGAAGAACCATCTTCTTAAGACTGTAATAGTACTAAACTTTGTTCAGTACCGTTTTTGTGAGGCTGAAGTTGTCTTCCTGTTCGCCAGCTGCTATTTTGAATTTTCCTGTTCCAGCAGCTACACCATTTAAGGTGGAATGGACATTACGCTCATTCGCCTTTATCTCATTAGGGTTGGAAAGCAGTATTGACACCTGACTTTATGCTGTTTATTTCTCTCTGCAGTGACGGGTCAGTCGTATGAGAACATGGTGACGGAGATCATGCTGATGGGTTATGAGAGAGAGCAGGTGGTGGCAGCGCTCAGGGCGAGTTTCAACAACCCGGACCGCGCCGTCGAGTACCTGCTGACGGTGAGCGTCACAGAAATGTGGAGTGGAAAAGGGAGAAATGGAGATCTTGGGAAAGACTTCCGGAGTCAAATTAAGCGTACTACTGTGTACTAGTAGTGGGCAGTATACTGGTTGAAATACTATTTATGGTGTTAGTTTAGTGAATGCTGTTATACCGGCATTCAGATAAATGCAGAAAACACACCGTTCAGACAGGCCAGTCTCTTGGGTTTAGCCGTTAGCCTAGCATTTAGACTAGCCGTCTCTCCGTGTGCTCTGCCTACGGCGCTCCTCGCTCGGCCAGCTGCTTTAGCTGCGGTCTCGGCCTACAAGCTAAGAGGCTCTGCAGCTCCTCAGTTAAAACTGAGTGAACGGCTGTAATATTTACTAAACTCCAGCAGCGTCTGACTCTCGGAGATTAAAGCTCGAGTGTGAGAGACGCACAGATGAGACTAACGACTTTCAGGCTATAAACTACATTCAGCAGCGTTTAGAGGAGCCGCTGTGGGCTTTACACTCACTCACCTTCATCTCGGTAGGGTTAGAGAGACACACTGACACCTGACTGTATAATATATATTGATCATTTCTGTTTTTACTGTTTCACCCAATGAAAATATTTTAGATTTACTTCAGCTGTTACTAAATATGGTTCTTATTAAAAGTGAAGGAACATCCAGAATAATATGGCATCATTAATCTACTAAAAAAGGTTGCTTAAGCGTCCAAAATGGTTTGATTTTAAAAAAACAAACAAACAAAACATAAATACAGTATGCAGTGATACATACCGAAACCATCAGGAATCAAAAACAGTTTTACCCGTGCCGCCCACTACTGGTAATTTATGGAAAGGGATGTTTATTTTATTAGTTTATATGTGTATAGGTTTCTAGTTCTTGTGATGTTGTTACAGTGTTCCTGTGTTCTGTGTAGTCAGTGTTGGGGTGTGTATGTGTGTGTTTTAGGGCATCCCTGTAGAGGGTGAGGGCAATGCAGGTGGTGCTGATCCAGTGGCTCCAGCAGGGGGCACTACTGCTGCCACCACTGGCCTCTCCTCTCCCTCCAGCACAGCTCCGACACAGCCCAGCGCTGGATCAGGTGGTGAGGGTCTCTCACACACACAGCTCTGTATTTCACAGACAGCTGCTCTGCACAGTAGACTGTTATCTCTCTCAGGTCCGACACGTTTCCAGGCTTTTACTGTGGCTCTTTCTAGACAGTGAGCTGTTTATGATAACTGCAAAAAAATAACACCGCTTATAACGTAGAACATGTTCTTACTGGCAGCATTTCTAACAAATATGTAGGTATTGGTGTTGCACAGTATTTATAGCGCCATTAAGAAGTCCTCGTCTCCTTGTTGGTGGGTGAGCTGTAACTCTGACTGTGCTCTGATGGAGCTCGTCTCATCACCGTTACTGCAGATACAGCCCTGCAGGAGGATAAACACCAACAACACAGACCAGAATGACCATCAGAAAGATTTAAAGACATGTAGACGCTTTAGATGCATTCCAAAAAAACACTACGAAGAGATTAGCTACATCGGTGGATCCGTATAACCTGCACATCTCCAGAGTTCAGAACATTCCAGTGTGTGAGATTTTATAAAAACTAATAGAAGTGGCTACAAAACTGACAAAGCTCTTAAATAGTAAACTCATTACCTCTTTATTAATGCTAGCATGTTAAATTCTTTAAAGTCTGAGTTCATTACTTTTAATAGCACTAATTTATTGAATTATTAAATGATGGATTCAGTACTAATGCTAACTTATTAAAGTATGAGTTTGTTACTTTAAAAATTTAAGTATTAATAAATAACTAACCCATACTAACTTATTAAATTTAATGTATGGGTTCTTTACTGTTATTAATGCTAATGTGTTGATTTTATTCATGCCATGGGATCATTAACCTTAATAAAGTGTGAGCTTATTGCTTTTATAAATACTTGCTTATTAAATTATTAAAGGATGGGTTAATAATTTTTATTAAAGCTCTCTTATTAACTTTATTAATTGGTGGGTTAATTTACTTTATTAATGCTACCTTTTCAGCTATAGGTTCCTTGAGTTTATCAGCAGTATATGGACACGGCTGTGGTTCAGAATCGTTATCAGTACAGTCCAGCGCTCATGTCTAATGTTCTGTTTAAAACACTGTAGTAATGTTTTGCTGTGAGGGGCTTTTTCTCCCGATGTGTGACGCGCTCTCTCTGGTGGGTGTGTGTGTGTGTGTGTGTGTGTGTGTGTGTGTGTGTGTGTGTGTGTGTGTGTGTGTGTGTGTGTTTACAGCTAACCCTCTGGAGTTTCTGAGAAATCAGCCGCAGTTCCTGCAGATGAGGCAGATCATTCAGCAGAACCCCTCACTGCTCCCAGCCCTGCTGCAGCAGATCGGCCGAGAGAACCCCCAGCTACTGCAGGTACACAAATCCAAATGATCCACTACCCAAATAGTACCTGCTCTGTGAGGGTCCATGGGGGTCCTGACCACTGAAGAACAGGGTAAAAGGGGGCCAACAAAGTATCAGAGAAACAGATGGACTACAGTCTGTAACTGTAGAACTACAGAGTGCACCTATATAGTAAGTGGAGCTGATAAAATGGACATTGTGCGTAGAAAAAAGGAGGTGTGTCCGTGTGCTTGTAGGAACTTTCCTTTAGTGGTATTAAACCTGTAATGGACAAGTTCTCAGGTGTTAAAGCCCCTCCTGATGCTCAACAAACAGAGAATATAAATCTCTTATTTAATGTTCCTCTTAGAAACTGTTACAAGTGGTTGACATTTTTGCTGTTGAGGGTTATGAAATAAACAGCCTTACCATTAAAATACATTTTATAAATGTGTTGGATCTTTGTTAGATGTTGCCACCTCATTGTAGGCCTTTAATTTCTATTTATTTATTATTTTTTTTAAATCCTTTTTCAAAAGAACATTTTGTTGGTCAGAATTTTGGTCACTCCCTCATACAGTGTAAAAAAAAATAATTGGAGAAGTTGCATTGTTTTTACATAGTGTTTTAGAGTAAATATGCCTACGGACTTGAAATGTAAAACTTCACAGATCAGTGAGAGAGTAATGAGACACTTTCAGAGTCTTTCAGACGGTGCCAATAAATCATAGCAAAACCTTACGACTTGAAGTAAGATTATACTGCAATGATAAAGTGTATATATGTTTTTTTCCCTTTTTTACTCTCTTGAACATATCAGTGTTTCATTTAAACACAAAATAAATCAAGAATTTTCATTTTGGGAGCGTGACAGCTGGCACCTCTTGTGCCAATTAAATCTCACCACTAGAGCTGGGCGATATGGCAAAAATATAATATTGTGATGCTTCAAGAAATTTGTATGATAAATGATATCTCACAATATTTATTTTTTAAGTCACCTGATCAGCTGGAACAGAGAAAGAAGATCCTACATTTAAAAAAAAAAAAAGTGAACAAAGTGACTTTTATTCAGTATTTGGCACTAAATCCAGTTAAATGGGCTAATTTTGATCTCTTTATAATGAATCATGCAGTTGGTCAGTGTCTACAGGTACTGACGATACACCCACCATGTCCAGAAGACTACATGCTGTATTGTTCTGTGGTTCAGTTCATCACAATAAAATCATATTGTCCAGCCCTACTCACCACACTTTCTTTGTTCTCTCCACAGCAAATCAGCAGCCACCAGGAGCAGTTCATCCAGATGCTTAACGAGCCTGCACTGGAAGCGGGGCAAGGCGGAGGCGGTGGGGGCGTGGCTGAGGCTGGAGGCGGGCACATGAACTACATCCAGGTCACACCCCAGGAAAAGGAAGCCATTGAGAGGGTGAGAGTCGTGCCGTTTAGGGAGCAGCTGTTTGACTCTATTTTAATGTTGCTCCATGTAGCTGTTCACCGTTCGCCTGATTAATACTGCTACAAAGAGGCCTGTGAAGGTGTCTGCTCTGAAAAGGGGTAATGTAGAGGTGCCCAGTCCTGGTCCTGAAGATCTACCGCCCTTCAGATCAAACACACCTGGTTGGAATATTCTGGCCTTCGTTACCTGGATCAGGTGGGTTAGCTGAGGTTTGGAGCTAAACTCTGCAGGGTGGTAGGTCTCCAGGACAAGGGGCCACATTCACGAAAGTGTCTTAGGAAAGAAAATCTTCTTAAGAAAAAATATTCTTCATAGAACTTTTTAAGAATTCTTAAAAACAGCATGAGAGTCGAAGATTATTCCATTAACAGCACAAGAGTTTTTTTTGTGCCGGGGCGCAGTGATACAGAGTTCAGTTGTTGTGAGGTGGTGTGTGTGTGTGTGTGTGTGTGTGTGTGTGTGTGTGTGTGTGTGTGTACTGCTGGTTATGAAATTTAATAAATTCACACAATGGCTGGAAGCATCAAGGAGAAATCTAGAACCAAACACTGTTCTCGGACTTGGCTCACAACACACGCTTTTTTTTTAAACTAACTATTTTTGCGGTATTTGTTTTTTATTGTTGATTATATAAATACTAAATAAATGTGTATGTATTTTTAATTTCTGTATAGGCCTACAAAAACAATACATGTATGTTTGTTTATATTTAACTTAACTATCATTGCTGTGCTGCTGCCGAAAGAGACAGATGAGGATCAAAACTATGAAACCTACTTTACTTACAGCTGTACAGAAGAGCTTTTCTGACGGACAACAAAACCCGCTCTTCTCCACTGCAGCGCTGCTCGATCAGAGATCACTGATGTAGCAGAGCGAGCTAACGACTTTCATCAACATCAGATAGATTTAATGATTTAACTGTTAAAGGAGAACTCCACTGATTTTTCAAAATTTCTGCTTAATTAAGCGGTTAAGATGTAAATATAGATCTTTAAATATAGTCGTTCAGAGTGGTTTGGTGGTGAAACGCTCCCTCACAGAAAGTTCCTACATGAAATGGTTATGAATTCACTGCCTGATGACTGAGACACTGTTTTATGATAGTTTAGAGAACTTAAACTCCATTTATGGTGGAGGGATACATGCAGGACATACCACAGTAAAATAGTCCCCAAAGAAAACTTATTATTTCAGATTTTCCACTATTTTCCATCATCAACATTCATATAAACTCAGAAGACTCGTGTAGGTTCACTGGTGGTTCTGGATAGTAAATAAAACGGCTGTATTTGCGTTGTGATTGTGACGCCTGGTTCCTATCACCACCACTGTAAAGAAGTAAGTCAGTTGGCCACTCAGTTACCCTAAGAACTGCTTAACGCTAATTATGGTATTGGAATCAGTATTTAAGAACCTGCTTGTACCCTGTACAAATGCATCCTTAGGGTTTATAAGCACACACTGAGTAAAAGGAGCAGGAGTCAGTCTGAGAGGTTCAGCTGAAACTTTGCGAGCCGCTCCAGACTTGATTAGGACGTCGACAAAGCGTACAAATCTTCCTCGACACCGGAGGATGAATTATTAATTATCTGTCTCTCGCTGAGGGAGGATGTGCGCTGGCAGAGGATTAGAGAGGGCGCTTGGCGTCGGACAGGAGGCCGGCGCTGGTTTGTAGAGGAACCTAACCTTCTTCATGTCTCTTCCTTCTGTTTTCTCTCCAGCTAAAGGCCCTAGGATTCCCAGAAGGACTTGTTATACAGGCCTACTTCGCCTGCGAGAAGAACGAGAACTTGGCGGCGAACTTCCTTTTACAACAGAACTTCGACGATGACTAAAGGGAGACATAGTCGTTTTGATTTATCCCCTACCTAAATCGCCCCCCGTTTTTTTTCTGTCAATTGATCATATTGGGAAAAAAAGATAAAAATTATATACATTCATACACAGGCAGTCGTTTTCTTTGATATTTTTTTTTTTATTTCCTGACAGTTGCATCTGCTTTTGACACACTGGATGACTCCATCGTGTTTGGTGGAAGGCGAGCTCGTTGGTTTGCTCCTTTCTAGTTGGAGAATCGAGTAAAAGCCAACTTGCTTCTTCTGATAATGACGCAGTGCTACCTGTTTCTTCTGTTTCTGCTTTTTTTATTACTTCATCATTAAATATGATTTTTTTCCATTGTAAGGAAATGAACGCTGGTTTAAAGGATCGATTGCCAAGTTAATGTCTTCACCAGATTTTTTCAAACATCAAGTATGATTGGGAGGGTTTTGTTTAAATGGCATATTCATCAATGTTCATGTTAATGAGATTGCATTCTCTCTCACTCGGACAAAGCTGACACAGGCATCTTTATTTTCCTCTCTCTCTCTCTCTCTCTCTCTCTCTCTCTCTCTCTCTCTCTCTCTCTCTCTCTCTCTCTTATTTTCCGAATTGATCAGTATAGGGACCCCCAGACACTTCAAACTGCAGTTTTAAATGACAGTTAAAAGATTTTTAAATCGATGACAGTGCTGTTACCATTTCTATTTTTGTTTTATTAAAACGGTGAAAGAAAATTCAGCTCTTCTTTGTAGTGCATGCGACACGGACCCTGCAACGGGACTTTGCCCAGTTAGCGCCGGACCCTTGCTCTCCAGCTGACCAATGCAGTCCCATTATACTTCCTTTAAAACAAAATAAAAGAAGTTAAAGGCATGTACATTGCTTCCATAGTTGCTATAATTAGTGTTGACAATTACTATCACTACAAATTTACTGTCATTTTTACAGAAAGAAAATGAATAAAACTTTTCAACATAAAGATCAACTCATTTTTTTTTTTCGGTGGTGAGGACGGGGGACGGAAATTTGTCAGTCGCTCATGCTTTGCTTATTTCCCCTTGAGACGATTCAGAATAGTGTCGTCTGCTTCAACCTAAAATCAAAACTTCTGGTTTTTTTTTTTTGTTTGTTTATTTTTTAAGTGGTGTTTGTTCAGGATTCATTATGTGCATTTTTTTTGTCCAAAGTCAGTTATTTTCCCTCATGATAATTTAATAAATACATATCGAATTATTCAACACTAAGTCTTTTATGTGAAACAACTTTCAGTGCATCCTTATTAAAATTAATTTGTTTCTTTTTGCCTCAAAGTCTAAAAAATGTCTGATGTTGCATTTCAAACGTCCAACTGTATGTGCTGATAAACAATCAAAAAAGGTAATATAAAATTCTAACGAAAATAGTTTGGCATGATTTTTGAAAGCAAAGGCAACTTTAAAAGTGCTCAACTCACTGAACAATTTTTCTCCACAAGTTCTTACCCCTCAAATGTCAGAGCACAACAAGAAACAAAGGACTTTTATTTTGACATGCTTTTAAAAAAGAGGGACCAACGTATTGCCTCATGGATAAGACCCTCAATGACCTTCATGGTGCAATGCTGAGGTCACAGATTTAATAAAGTGTTATTTTTGTCGTGGTTAGAATGGTTTGGTTTACCATGTCAGGTAGACTGTCCTCAGGAGAACCATGTGGAATAATAATGTTTATTTATTTAATAAAATGTGAGTATAAACTGAAGTTGAAGGTCAAAGGTTTCTACAGGTGTCTAAGTAGATGCCTGTTTAATTAGAAATTAGTCTGAAAAGTCAGGCGGCGCAGCCAGTCAGTCAGAGGGAGCAACCAGACCAGCACAGCTTAATAACTGAAATAGGCAATTTAAAGGTTTGATAACACTCACTATGTTTAAGATAGAAAATACACACAGATATAAATGTGAATATATATGCAGATATAAAAATGCACATCATGTCCTTTTTAATAAGATGCTTAAAAAGGGTTGTTTTGAAAATCTTGTCATTGACCTATGTATTCTTGTTCTCATCTGATGACTTTTCCTCCATCTCTAGAACATCTGATTTTTGGCAAGGTTATCTGCTCGTCTCTGTGGCCCCCGACGCACTTTTAAAGTCAAAACCCTGTTAAACCTACCTGGTTCCAGCTGTGCTTTGTGTTGGTGGTTTGTTCTTTGAAACAACTACAAACAACTGCATATAAGTTTATTAATAAATCTTATTGCCACTCATACCTGTGATAAGTACACTCTTAAAGATGGTTCTTCAAGGGCTCTTTAGTAAAGAAAATGTGTAGAACCATGAATACTCAGTTTTTTTTTTTTTGCATGATGACATGGTTCTTCAGATTGATGGAGAATATGCTGTAGATGGTTCTTTGTAGAACCTTTTTGAAAAGGGTTCTTCTATTGTATACAAACTTGACATAACAATAGAGGAACCGTTTACTGGACGGTGTGTGAGGACTGATGAACTGACCAATGCTGTTTTCCCACAATTCAACACATGCAAAAAATGAATCGCCGTTAAACTGGACACAGCCTGAAAACCGGACTGTCCAGGTGAAATTTGGAAGGGTGGCGACCCCACGTCATCGTGCACGAGCAGGAAGGGGAAAATTATATTTACCAATGATATCCTGTTCGACGCTGAGCTGGTTCAGTGACCGCATCCCATTGCAGTAACGTTTTAAAGTGAGGAGCAGCTTTTTAATTTGAACCGGTGGTGGCGCTGCTAACCAGCTAGCCATGCAGACTTCGTAAAGTTTTTTTTGTTTTGTTTTTTGAGAAGTCTGAACAGATTTTGGGAATAATTGTTTGTCTACAAGCTCTGCTTCAGAACTGTGTGTGGACTTTACTGGCCTCTTTCATGAATGTTCTGGCTTTGACCTCAGGTCAGGAATTGTCCAGATTTTGAAAACTTTGTCTACAAATCTGTTTTTAAAATTCCAGTACTGAAGTGTGACTACTAGATCCCTGTAGGCCTTCAATTTAGACCATAAATGTCAAAATGAAGACAAAAATAACAGGAGTACAACACTGTCTGTGTTTACATGCAAAGATTTTCTCCAGTCTGATTGAACACATTCTGATTACAGATTCAGACTGAGGTGTTTTTATTCTCACTCTACTCAACAATCTGATGGAACATCTCTGTTTACATGCTCACTACAAGTGATCTGATCCAACATTACGTACATGCGCAGAGAACCACTTAGTGTAGACGTTACCATGACAACCAGCATCACGTGAGTCCAGTCAGAGTGAGACGAGCAGCAGTGAGCAGCGCTTGTGTTTTTAACTGCTTTAAAATGCCGTCAGACTCAGGAAAACGTCCTTCACATGTCCTTATTAAAGAAGGCCGAGAGGACGACGTCGTGTTCTGAGACACATAAGCTGGACGTCCGTCCCACCGCCGTCTTTTAAAGACCAGAGCATAAACTTCGTCTCCTCTGCAGACCAGTTTCTGCTCCACCATGTTGAACGGTATAAACTCTCACTATGATGTGACGAACATGATCAGAACGGACTTAAACTTTCCGATAGGGAATGTAATCAGATACAGGCGTTTACACTGATATTATTCTTCTATTTAACAGATTATTAACCAGATTACCCACCTCGATCAGTCGGATAGACACTGTGTTCTGAAAGGCCTCAATCGGACTAGTCTATTCAGACTGAGGGGTTTACATGGACGTATTCTATTCTGATTGAGCTGTTAGTCGGATTATTAACGGATTATTAGGCTGCATGTAAACGTGGCTAGTGATGATGAAACACAAACGTTTGAAGCTTGTAACAGACATTATCATATCTGAGCTTGTATGTGTCAGTGAGTGTGTTTACATGCGCTTAATAATCTGATAACTGCAGAAAATCAGATTGCGTCACTAACTGGTTTGGTGCGTTTACACTTAATATTCTGATGACTGCAGAAAATTGCGTCTGTATCATTATATGATTGCGTCACTGAGTAGTTTAGTGTGTTTTCATGCTCTTGGGTAATCAGATAATAGGGAAACTCTGGGTCTCCGTGAGTCAGGCAGTAACTGTATTTCTGATTTACAACCTGCCAAGTTAACACGCAATAATTTGTGACTTAAACGTACTGTACAGCTTCAAACTTCATGCTGCTGTAATTCAAAACATTGCGCCACTTTACCTGAAAATATGAACATACATCATCTAAAAGTAAAAAAATATTTAAATCTTTCATTTCGTCGAGTATGTAGTCAGTTTCAGCGTTGCTCCAAAAGTGTTTTGCTGTGTCTCGCGGCGACGCTGCTCGCTTATTTCCGGTACCGCCGTTTGTTTTCGCACGTTCTCAGACGGGAAAACGAAAGAAATCAGAGTAAGAGTTTAAATGCACTGAGAAATCTGATTACTGAGATAAAATCCATTAATAGTGCGTCTGTGCTGCAGTAACAGACTCTACTCTTTTAGGAAGGCTTTAGATGCTGGAACATAGCTATGAGGATTTGATTGAGCATTAGTGAGGTCAGGCACTGATGTTGGATGGTCAGTTCTGGATCACTCCAACTCATCCCAAAGGTGTTGGATGGAGCTCCATCACTCCAGAGAACGCAGTTCCACTGTTTCCAGTGTCAGGCCCACGCTTGACATTGGAAATGGAGACCTTAGGATCATAGACGACGTTTTATTGGGCGATGCTTTTTTTTTTCTGGAGCTGTGTGAATGCCTGGATAAGCAATGGGGTCCTAGGTTGTCTGGCTGCTGAAGTCTGTGTTCTAGTGCGGTTCTGCGCTCTTCCTCACAGTAACTGAGATCTTCCTCGTCTCCTCTTCTGTAGAGTCTCTGTTCTAGTGCGGTTCTGCGCTCTTCCTCACAGTAACTGAGATCTTCCTCGTCTCCTCTTCTGTAGAGTCTCTGTTCTAGTGCGGTTCTGCGCTCTTCCTCACAGTAACTGAGATCTTCCTCGTCTCCTCTTCTGTCTTCAGTGTGAGAAATGAGGAACAGTCACTCTTCACTCCAAACTCTTGGGAAACTGGGCGAGTTTTCAGATTTACAGATCTGCTGCAGCTCATTGTGAAGTTTTTCAGAGATATTCCGAGCATAATTAAGCTACGAAGGACCAACTGGGTGAACCAGTCTGCTACAGCGCCACCCTGAGGCAGAGCAGTGCTGCAGCTCTAGTTAGTTTAGAACACCAGAGACAGAAGCTGATTGTGGGAGAAGCAGATAAACAGTCAGCTTCACTGAGTCTGGATTTGAGTGTCTGTTTTTCCCAGCATAACCTAATAAAAATATATTCAGGGACCCCCAGAATTTTGATTTTGAGACATTCAGGGGGTCCAAGAGGTTAATTAGAGGATCCCAGACCTCCCAGGACCTCCCTGTATTTTGCATTTAGAGTGTATATGACAGTGAGTTTGGATTGCATTGATATTAATACATTAGAACCAGCCTTTCACAACAGATTGACAGCTGACTGTGCAGCGTATGGCAGCCTGTTAGGATGAAAAGTGAAGCCAAAATCATGCTGTAATTCTGTATGAATCTTTTCTGACTCGTGGCTCTTTGAAACCACTGGACACAACTGAACCACGTGGAAAGCAGATTCTACACCCACATTCTGTTCTGTAAGAAGAAGATATGTCACTTTTTCACATCAAAACAAACAAAAAGGCCCAAAGTCATGACCCTCTCCTCCGATCGGAGCCAATCAGGCCTCTACACTGTCAGAAATAAAGGTACTGTGCTGGTACGTTTTCCATTTGTCAACGTACAAACAGTGTAAATGTTCCCTCAAAGCTCCAACAGTGGTTTAAGGTCTGATTGTGAACCTTAAATAAGTTTTTCCAGGTGAAAAGTTCGTATTTGTACCTTTTCATAACCGAATGTTTTAAACAGAACAGTAAAATAAAAGCCTGGAGGCGAGACGGGGTGTGTGGAGTCAGTACAGCTTAGAACATATCATTTCAGTGGATTATGGTTCAGTTATGTTCCCTGACTGAAGGTACTGAGATGGAGCCTTGAGGGTTCCACCTCAGTGACAGTTTAGTACCTTTATTTCTGAGTGTACTGTATACTCTGTGAATAAAGTAATGAAATGAAGGCTAGTTTATTTACACAGCGCCTTTCATACTGCGGTCATTTTCAGTGCTTTAGAATGAGACATTACAAACATCATTCATGTTAAAATTCTATGAACTGAATTCAGAGCGTTAGATGAGGGTAAACGCTGATCTCTGCAGCGCTTCAGCCTGGAAGGTCCCCAATTTGACATGCCTGATCTGTTGAGCTGCTTTGTAGTACAGATGGTGTCCTGCAGGTGGCACTGTTGACCGCATTTTTAACCACACTCCGCCAAAGTAGACGGCTGTAAGCGGGGAGACGTTGGTAGTTATTCACATTTTTGCTCTTTAAAATCAGAGCCTCATAGTGGTCACTACATATCTAAAATTGTGTATATATGTATACATATATGTGTGTATGTATATAATGTCAAAGTACATAAATTGTGCACTAAAATTAGCATATTTAGGCCTGTTCTCTATAGAGAGATGTTAACTTTACATGTAGAAAATCAACAGAACATTTCATTTAAACTTGTTTTATGGTAAACGTTTCTGTGCGACTGTATGCTATTTCAAACTAGCCGTTCAGTTTGACCGCTAGAGCTGGTTGAATGGAGTTACGCGTCAACAGAGGACAATCAGGATGGTGAGAAAAGTGAAGGACTTTCATAACGAGTGTCAGATTTTCTGTTATGTCTCTAGAGCATTGAACAGATTACAGAGCACAAAGCATTGAAATCTCCTCTCATGCTACATACTTTAGCATTTTCAAGTGTGAAAAGCTAATAAAGGATCCAGCTGTCAGTCATCTGTGCTTCTATGTAATCGAATCTAATGTATTTCAGCTGTTTCTCTGCTCTGTAACACACGTGAAGCTGGTGAGATGATCTCTTCAGCGACTGGACGCTCTAATAAAGTCTCATAAAATGCCACCAAGCACTGAAAGTAAACCTGTAAACGTGTAACAGGAACTATATTCATTTGTGTTGTGCAATAATTTAGTTTGCTAATCAAATTTTCCTCAGTTTTCACCTCATACCCCAAAAATCATAGTCAGTTAGTGAAGACGTTTGAAATTTTGCTTCTTTCAGTTCAGCATTGAAGCTAATGTTGCTAACAGATAATGGAAGCTTATTAGAATGCCAGTTAGCGTGGTGCTAGCAGTTCCCTCAGACCCTGTGGAGATTCAGTGTCTCTAATAGTCTTGATTCTGTGGTTTCTGACACTGTGTGACTCACTGTTACCTATAAACAGGCTGAAGTACATTAGCATAGCTAACCTTCTGGCTCTGTTTCGTGGTCCATTGAAAACTAGGCTGAAGGGTGTTGCTAATCAAATGCCGGGGGGGCTTTGAAGAAGACAAAACCCTCAAATGACTGTTAACGAGACCCGTTTGGCATCATCACCGGCCGAGAAAACAAACCCGTGCACAAGCCGATCACTCCTGGCTCTGAATGGAGGCCGCTGAGCTGAAGTTAAGCCGAGGCCTAGTGCGGAGATTCGGTGTCACAGCTGGACGGCGGCCAAAGGGACACCCTTACCTTCTCGGTTTTTCAGCCTGACGGGTGAAAGAGAGGCGCCATGGCAACAGGACACTTTAGAAGTGCATTTTCAAACCTTTTTGTATTTTTTTGTCCTTTTTTTTAAGCGGAAGCGCTCACATCGCCTCAAGCGGCGTCTCATTATCTGCAGGGCCTCATTGTGTGACGCTGCTTTTAGCCTTTGACGTGGTTTAAATGTGTTTATCCTCCTTTTCTAGAGTTTAACCCACCAGTGTCCACATATGAAATACATTTCTTGGCTAAAAAGTGAGGAATTGAACCAGTTTTTCAAGAATGTCTGCGTACCTCAGTGTGTGAGATGTTATCAGAGAGATTCAGAGAGGTTTGGTGTGAAAGGGTTCAGGTGTCTTTACAGTGGTGGTGATAGGAACCAGGGGTCGCCATGACTACAACACAAATATAGACATTTTATTTACTATCCAGAACCACCAGTGAACCTACACGAGTCTTCTGAGTTTATATGGAATGTTGATGATGGAAAATAGTGGAAAATCTGAAATAATAAGTTTTCTTTGGGGACTATTTGGCCTCACAGCGCCCTGCATGTATCCCTCCACCATGAATGGAGTTTAAGTTCTCTAAACTATCATAAAACAGTGTCTCAGTCATCAGGCAGTGAATTCATAACCATTTCATGTAGGAACTTTCTGTGAGGGAGCTTTTAGAGGTGGACGTCTGGTTCCTATCACCACCACTGTGAACAGTTCTGACTCGGTAAGTTTATCTAGAACGGAGCGTTTCACACCAAACCACTCTGAATGAAGATGTTTATATCTTAAGTAATTATTTAAGAGGACATTTTGAGAAATTGGAGAAATTCATTTACCTTTGTTTGACAAATTAGCTAATAAAAGAGTAGACATGCAACGGAACAAGCATGTCAAAATAACAGCAATCTGATGGACACAGTCTGAAGTTTGAAGCAGGCAAATTTGTGATTACTTGTTAATAAAGATAATGACTGATAAAAAACATACTATAATTATTTATTCGATGTATTTCTCAGCACATAGATCGTGTAGATATCTGCCTTAAGATTTGATCACCACTTTTAGAATTTGATGAAATCTGAATATTTAAGCTTTTTAATGTCCCACTGATTATTAGCTTATTGCAAGCACATTAGAATAATTTTATCCATTCGTCTGAAGCGAAATAAGTTTTATATTAATGAAAACATTCTGAAAATGGCATCAAAATAACACATAATTAAAGCTTACTGGAAATACATTTTCTTTATTTGTTTATACAGTATTGCGTTCATACATAAAATACAAAAAAATGGAAAAAATATTTACAAATATACAAAACTTAAGATTATATTACATTATTTTGACTATAAACAAAAAAAAAAACCTTTGTTCAGACTTATTTTTGTTTTGTTTTTTTTTTTTTGGTTTCATACAAAAATATGAGTGTCTTATTCCATATATCAAAATTATTGCACCTAACAGCCACAGTGCAGATAGGATTGCCATCACCAAGGAGAAGCTGAGCGTTATCCCCTGATTTAAAAAACAAAATAAAAATACAGGTTCCCAAGAAACTTCCCAGACTCTGTTTCCATCTGGTGTCTTCTTTGGCACCTTTAGGTAATAAAATAAAAATAAAAAGTACAAATAAACACCTGGATATACGGAGCACCATCCTGTAACACGCTGTAGAACTTCGGTACCTGAAATGGAGAGCGATTCCAGAAAAAAAACAAAAAACGGATTCGAACAGTGTTTTTTTTTCTTCTACTGTGGCGAACGGAAGGTGTGCTTAGTCAAAGGCCTCGTGTTTGTTCAGCTTACAGACGATCCCATATATATAGATATCCCTGATATTGATAGATTTCCAGTCTGATTGTGTTTCTTGGCTCCTCTTTTTTTTTCCGAGCGCTTTTCCAGTAACTCTCCCAGATCAGTCGGACGCAGACGCTCTCTCTGCGTCGTCATTTAATAACAAGGACAAGGACGACAGATAATAAATGACTTTAAAAAAGACTTAAAAATACGTTTTTGGCCCCTGGGGGCCGCCGTCTGCCGTTAATGACACGGCCTGTTGTGGAGCTTTTGTTTTTTTTCATTGACTTTTCCGTCCGAAGGCAACGTGTGGTTTCGGAATATAAACGGTCCGTTCTGGTTTGCGGTCCGTTCTGGCCACAGGCTATAGGTGGCGCTTCATGTGCAGGGCGAGGTGGTCTGAGCGGGAGAAGGCCCGGTCACACTTCTGGCACTGGAAGGGACGGTGGCCCGTGTGTTTCCTGTAGTGGCGCGTGAGCTCGTCAGAGCGGGCGAACTTCCAGGCACAGCCTTCCCAGTCACAGTGATACGGCTTCTCGCCTAGAACACACACACGGAACCGTCAGCGCTTTAGCCTACGCTCTCAAAAAGAAAGGTTCCTTGAGGGTTCTAAAGACAGTGTTTCTATATAGAGCTATGAACACTCAAAGAACCTGTTGCTTAGATGGTGAAATGGTTCTTCAGACTGATTCTATATAGCACTGAAAAGGGTTTTGCTATTGCATACACTCTTAAAAAGAAGGTTCTCTGAGGGTTCTTCAGTAAAGACAGTATACAGAGCAGTATAGAGACAGATATATAGAGCTGTGAACGCTCAGAGAAGCATTTGCATGATAAAATGGTGAAATGGATCTTCAGATTGATGGAGAATTAATGTGCTGTATATGGTTCTATGTGGAACCTTTTTGAAAAGGGCTCTGTTATATACAATGTCAAGCTTGTAACAATAGCAGAACCCTTTTTGGTGCTATATAGAACCATATACAACACATTCTCCATCAATCTGAAGAACCATTTCAGATGGTTCTTTGAGTGTCCACTGTGCTATATAGAACCACTGTCTTTACTATAGAACCACCTTTTAAAAAGTGTACACAAGAAGGTTCTTCATAGGTTCTTCTATAAACCCAATTCTTTTTGCATGATTAAATGGTGAAAAGGTTCTTCAGATTGATGGAGAATGTGCTGTATATGGTTCTGTGTAGAGCCTTTTTGAAAACGGTTCGATATAGCACCAAAAAGGGTTCTGCTATGGCTACAATGTCAAGCTCGTAACAATAGCAGAACCCTTTTTGTTGCTGTATAGAACCCTATACAACACATTCTCCATCAATCTGAAGAACCATTTCAGATGCTTATTTGAGTGTCCACAGTGCTATATAGAACCACTGTATTTACTATAGAACCCTTGAAGGACCATCTTGTTAAGAGTGTATAGAGCCATGAACACTCAAAGAACCACGCTTAATGGTGAAATGGTTCTTCAGATTGATGGAGAATGTGTTGTATATGGTTCTTTATAGCACCGAAAAGGGCTCTGCTATTGCATACACTCTTAAAAAGATGGTTCTTCAAGGGTTCTTTAGTAAAGACAGTGTTTCTATATAGAGCTCTGAACACTCAAAGAACCATCTGCATGAGTAAACGGTTCTTTGCATGGTGAAATGGTTCTTCAGACTGATAGAGAATGTGTTGTATATGGTTCTGTATAGCACCTCTGCTATTGCATCCACTCCTTAAAAAGATGGTTCTTCAAGGGTTCTTTAGTAAAGAAAAAGGTTCTATGTACAACCATTAAAAAACCCAAAGACCCAGATTAACAGAGGATGTGCTGTAGATGGTTCTATATAGAAACCCTTTTTGAAAAGGGTTCTATACAGCACCCAAAAAGGTTCTTCTATTGTTACAATGTCAAGCTTGTTACAATAGCAGAACCTTTTTGGTGCTATACAGAACCATCTACAGCACGTTCTCCACTAATCTGAAGAATCCTTTCATGATGCAAAGAACCCATTTCCTTTACTAAAGAACCCTTAAAGAATCATCATTTTGAAAAGTGTACAAGCTTGATATCATAACAACAGAAGAACCCTTGTTGGTGCTATATAGAACCATATATAACACGTTCTTTGAGGACCATTTTTGCCTCACAGTGTTTTTGTTTGATGCTGAAAACCTGAATCTGCTACGTTCAACATTTCAAATCCGGTTCTGTGTGTTTTCGGGTCTAATGTGTTGCAGCTTTTCTGTAATTTCAGAATAAAATTACTTAAAACTAAGTAATGTTTTGGTTCTCTCCTGTAAAGTGACCGTTTTGGAGAGACCTGCTTTACTGTGGACAGCGACGATGTTCGTCCTGACGAAGGCTGTTTTCTCTGCTCATGTAGCTTCGACCAAATGCGGAGCTTTTAAATGTAAGCGGACTTTTTTATTGTCAAATTTGAGTGAATAAAGGCGATTAATCACGATTAACCGCACAAATGATGCGATTAATCGGGATTACTCATTTCAGTCGCCTGCGTTTTAAGACGTGTCATGTTTGTTTTAGCACATTTTGCTAAAATTCAAAGTAAAACAAAATTAAGAGGAGAATTACTGTTTTTATATCATATATTTAATATCTCACTCTCATATCGCCGTGGTGATCGCCCAGCGGTCAGCAAGTAAACGACCGTGTTTGTGTTGTTGGTGTCTGACGAGGATCATCAGCCTGTTTACACTGCAGCTATAACACCCCCCCGTCTCTCTCTCTCTCTCTCTCTCTGTCTCTCTCTTTCTGTACCTCTCTCTCTCCTTTTTTCCCGTCTCTTTTTTCATTTCTCTTTCTTTTCTTTTTATTTCACTCTTTTCTTTTTCTTTCTCTCTCTCTGTCTCTTTTTCTCTTTTCTCTCTCTCTCTCTGTCTCTTTTTCTTTCTCTTTTCTTTCTCTCTCTCTTTGTCTTTTTCTTTCTCTCTCTCTGTCTTTTCTTTCTCTTTCTTTCTTCTCTTTTTCTTTCTCTTTTCTTTCTCTCTTTTCTCTTTTTCTTTCTCTATCTCTTCTTTCTTTCTCTTTCTCTCAGTTGGTCACCTCAGGCTCAGTTCAGCAGTGCACTTTCAATAAAGATGGTTCTTCAAGGGTTCTTTAGTAAAGAAAATGGTTCTATATAGAACCATGAACTCTCAAAGATCTTTACATGATTAACTGGTTCTTTGTATCGTGACGGAGAATGTGCTGAACCTTTTTGAAAAGGGTTCTATATAGCACCAAAAAGGTTCTTGTATTGTTCCAAGCTTGACTCTTAAAAATTTTGGTTTTTCAAAGATTCTTGAAAATGGTTCTATATAGAACACATATGGTTCTATATGAACACTCTAAGAATACTTTGCATGATTAACTGGTTCTTTGTATCATGATGGGAGAATGATGGGAGTTCTGTACAGAACCATATACAGCACCTTCTTGTAAAGGGTTCTATATAGCACCAAAAAGGGTTCTTCTATTGTTGCAAGCTTGACATTGTCACAACAGAAGCTCCTTTTTGGGTGCTAGAACCCTTTTTGAAAAGGTTTTATACAGAACCATCTTCAGCACATTCTCCATTAATCTGAAGAACCCTTTACTGTTTAGTCATTACTAAAGAACCCTTAAAGAACCATCTTTTCAGAGTGTACAGAATTACCACATCATAACAGAATCATTTTCAACAAAACTGGTAATTTATTCTTAAAAATATTGATTCAAACGATTAAAAAAAATCAAACACAGTGTAAAAGGCCGCTGTGGCCGGCGGTGAGGTCACTGCACTGACCTGTGTGTGTCCTGTGATGCGCCTTCAGGTGTGAGCTCTTGGTGTACGTCTTTCCGCAGCCCGCATAGTCGCAGGTATGTGTGGCGATCCGCTTCCTCGGCCACGAGCGCCGGCCCCGCTTGGGTTTGGGCTCCTCCGGGAGGCACTCGGCCGGTGGCATCATCTCTGTGGACGAGAGGGAGAGGTGAGGGTCAGTGTGACCCGACACTGTGGCGGACCGTTCCAGATAAATCATGGTCTCTATTTAGCGTAGCCGGTTCTTAATGTGTAGCGTTCACACTGTGGAAAATAATCCGGTGTTAACTTTAATGGTCAGTAACCTGGCGGCCTTGAAATTTGGGTTCATTAAACTTCTAATAGTCAGTTAACAGAACAATAATCTGTTTTACGTGCTCTTAACATGTTTGAAGTTCAGTGAATTCAACATTTTAAGGCAACCAGGTCACTGTTGTGTTCATGTGTTATATGATGCACAATTACATAATAAATTCCATATATGATACATATCAGTGCTGTCGGAACAAAACCTCCAAAATGAGAATTTAACAGGAGAAAGAAAAATGTTTTACTTTTAATGTAAGTCAATGGAACCAGACGTCTTTCCAAGTCATTTTGGGTCGTTTCTTTTGGTCCATTCATCATGAAATTTACACACAATGTAAAGAGCAACAGGCTTTTTCACATTATAGTAAAAAGTGAAAAATGAGATACGAGGTTTTTGTTCAGATGTCAGTGATATATTAATCATATAGTCCGTTTTTTGAGTTACATACTAAACAGACATCACATCTGAACATTTTCCCCTCAAAAAACACAAAGTATGTGTTTCTTTTTTTGCAAAACAGTGTTAACTTGTCATCACATTCAATTTATAATATGTAAAATATAAAATATCTATATATAAAATAATTTGCTTATAAACAAAAGTATAGTACAGATTGAAGGTGTACAGCTTCTACACTTGTTTCAGAGAGTCAGAACTAAAGAAAAGGACATTTTTCTTGCCTTTACTGTGTAAACAGCTTTTTGAAACTCTATATACAATATCTTTTATTTCAAAAGGCATCTTTTTACATGATCACGTTTATCACCTTTAGGTCCAGCAAATACATTTAGTTTGAGGAAAAAAGCCACAAAGCCTGTTCTGACTGGTCTGAATGATGGAATTTTGTATGGTGTCTAACTGTATTAGTTTAATTGTATGTAATAGTTGTACTTATATTCACAGCTACATTTGGGTTTTCTGCCATTTTGTTGAACATAATGGTCCCAAAACACTGAAATTAATAATAAATGAATTGATAAAAACTCACTTTCTAGAGCTCTGAGAACATGTGTGAAATGCAAATTAGCATTTCAGATATGAATATTAATGAGTTAATATGAAATTACATGATTTTGCCGCAATCGTGAATTCTCAGGCTGAAAAGATGAGTAAGCATGTTCAGATCTGACCTACCTTGATACTGCATGGACGGTGCAGGGGGTTGCGCGTGGAACGCCGAGTACCCCTGGGTGGGGTGGAACCCCAGCGGGTGTCCCAGCGCCTGAGATGGGGCGTGGTGCTCGTCCGGGCTGGAGAGGGAAGAGGACGAGGAAGAGGGGGCGTGGCCAAAGCCGCAAGGGTCCATGGCCCGGCTGACGGCGCACTTGCTGGGGCATTCCTGCTTTATCCTGTGGCACGCAAACAGCACGGAAGGGTCCGAGGAAGAGGCGGCAGCTTTGCTCACTGTCGCCCCCTGGCTGTAGTCCATGTGCATGGTGGTTTTGACCACGAACTTGCCATGGAGGCTGGTGGGCGGCTGCAGGTAAGCCGGGTCCAGCTCGGGCCGCATCAGCTCAGCCACGAAGCCGCCGGACGGGGACACATCGCTCAGGTCCGGAATGGGGTACAGCGCCTCCCCTTGGTAGGCCGAGTAAGGTCCGGGGGAAGTGGGCGGAGCATGGCTGACCATGCCTGTGTCCTCGTCTGGCTGGTGCTGGGGAGCGTGGCTTTGCTGCTGCTGCTGCTGCTGCTGCTGTTGGAGAATGCTGTTGGACAGGATGAAGTCGTAGTCCAGCAGGTCCAGCTCCTCCGGCTCTTTTTTGGTCATGGTAAGCAGAGGGTTGTGGTCAGAGCCGCCGGACGGGAGGCACGGGTGCTTCAGATGGGACATCTCTTCCTTCCATCTC